TAAGATGAGAGACACATGAATTCCGTTCCATTATCACTCCGGAGAACCTTTAAGTTTCGATCGAATTGCCTTTTAATGAGAGCAATCAACTCACGTAGGCGAGCTGAGACCTGAGTTTTATCGGGAAGCAAATACAGCCAAACAGCTCTTGAGTAGTCATCAACAATAGTCAAAAAATATCGAGAGCCACAAAATGCGGATTTGCGATATGGACCCCAAAGATCACAGTGGATTAATTCAAAAGGACTTGTAGCTTTATCATAACTATCAGAAAAAGAGTTCCTTGTTTGCTTTGACCGTAAGCAAACATCACAATTCGAAAAACACAAAGCAGAACTAAATTTAAAACGAACACCGGGAACTAAACCAACAACTCTAGAAGACGGATGACCAAGGCGACGATGCCACAAAACACCTTCATCACCAATACTTGTCTGAAAAACAGCCACAGTCTCGATGCCTCGGAAGCGATACAGTCCCTCACCCTCACGTTCACCTGCACCAATCAATGTCCTCGAGATTCGGTACTGAAAAATTACCAAACGATCAGTAACTTGTCCAACAAGTGAGTTATCTGTCACAAGCTGGCCAAAGGAGATAAGATTCGTATGAAATCCTGCAACATAGTACACATTCTTCAAGTGAAGATGTGATGTCAGTCGTATCGTGCCTTGTTGGTCAGACAAGACGTTTTCGCCGGCCGGTAATCGAACAGAAACAGGAGAAACAGGACAAATGTCATTAAGAAGGTCAAGACGACCAGTCATATGATGAGTCGCCCCTGTGTCTAAAATCCAAATAGGTTCAAGAGTCTTACCACTCTGACGAGAGGAATCAGAGTTTGAGCTGTTCGGATGAAGAAGCTTAACCAGAGTCTGCCACTGGGCATCAGAGAAGCCTGTCAATCCTTGTCGATCTGCTTCGGTGAGAGCCATGTTGGCTGCGATTTGAGGCGGAGCTCCAACGACCTGAGTCAAGTTTGCATGGGCAGCTGGTGTTTGTCCTCCATTCGCTTGCAGATTGTTTCGATTTTGCGGCCTATCTCCCCACCACTCTGGAAAACCGATCACGCGAAAGCACGAGCTGGCTTGATGTCCGGTTCGACCACAACTAGTGCAAGTGACTTTCGCGTCAGGATTTGGAGGTCGTTGTCGCGAGCCGCCACCGCCAGTGTTGTTGTTTCGGTTTCTTGAAAACGTCATCTGCGAAGAAGAAGCTTGAGCTGTGAAGCTCATCACGGCGGTTGCTTCCTTCTTCGCATTCAACTGGACCGTTTCGTTCTGTACGATCGTTTGATACACTGTATCAAGGTCCGGAAGAGGGATTTGAGCGCAGATCTGAGACCGCACTGCTCCATGAATCGCGTCGTCAAGACCATAGAGGAAGTCGTGAACGCGAATCATATCACGTTCCTTCTCGTGTGCAGACACCAAATCGCATTCGCACTTTCCGCAACGGCAGGTTTTACTCGTCGAGCATTCAGCCATGGCGTCCCATATTTTGGTCAGCTTTCCAAAATAGTCTTCAACTGAAGATCCCATCTGTCGACAATTTGCGAGAGCGCCTCGGAGCTGTTGAAATCTCGCACCACTCTTGAGAGCAAATAGTTTCTTGATATGATCCCAGAGCTCCTTAGCGACCTCTTTATGAGAGATGTTAGATCGCAGCTTCGGTTCGATGGTGAGCTTAATCCAAGTCACCAACAGATGGTTGTTTGCCAACCAGTCTTCGAGATCGGGAGAGTCAGCATCGGGTTTTGGTATGCTGCCGTCGATGAAGGCGAATTTCTTCCGAGCACTCAAAGCCACAGGAAGATTCTGAGCCCATTCATCGTAGTTTCGTCCGTTCAAAAGCGGCTGCGAGATAACGGCGCCAAGGTTATCTCCAGACGTCAAGTCGTAGGAAGAGATGGTCTTCCTTGTCGAGGTCGGGGTCGTCGCTGCTGATTTGTCAGCCGCTGTGGCAAGAGCTGTGTCGTCTTTTGCCATCGAAGATCAAAGAGAAGAGAGTATCGAGTATTAAAAAGGAAGAACAAGCAGCAATCAGGATTCAATGTCGTGGCTCTGATACTATGAGAAATCACGAGCAAGGGTTTTGAAGTTGTTTTTGTTATTATTCACAGACCTTATTATCTAGTATTTATACAATTACATATGTCCATAACATATAAGACCAAATCTAAGAAATATAAAAATATGTCTATTTACAAAGATAGTTCACATCATGTGCCGCTTTTAAATCCAATAATATGAATCGTTCTAACATTATGTGCCGCTTTTAAAAATAGTTCACATCAAAACCGATTTCATTTTCATTAGACCATCTCCATTTGTTGACGGGACATTTCAACATTGTGATGTTTGTTATTTTATTATAATTCGATTCGTTAGCGGAATGATTCACATTGGTAACACGGGGACATACAAATTCTGATTTTTTCGAAAACACATTACAATAAATATAATTTGATTTGAGCTCGTGGCCTGTTAATACGCGTGTTAGCGAAGAGATAATCACCACCAAATGTATAATACGTATCTAATGTATAATAAGTAATAAATAAATAATATTCGACCGGTCCAGTTACTCCAGTATATCAATTTAAATTCATAAACCAATGTCAAAATTAAATTAATTAATATAAAAGAGATCTACACCAGAATTCGAAAATTCGAAAAAATAAACATATACACATAACACAAACACAGATATATTGAAAATTATGCGTAAGGATCTTGTGATTTCAATTTCATTAAGCAACAATATAAATATATAATTTTGTGAATGGAAGGTGTGGGTGTGACACATACAAAGTTTAATGACAGGTCAAACTTCATTGTTTTTCTAATATTTTTAATAAGTAATAGTAGAATATATATTTCTGTTGTAAAAAACATGAAAATTTGTCAACAACACAAAAAGTAGAATATTTCCTTTTTTCTTATTTTGAGAATATTCATATCTCTATATTTTTAGATTCTAAGCTAAATATAGGTGCCTGGTTTATTTCTTGGTCTAAAGTTGATTGATGTATAAGAAGAATATAGTACCTGTGAAGATGTAAGAAAAACTTATTTAGAACAAGTGTTTCAGGTTTTGAAGAATCAAAATTAAAAGTTATTTAGATTGTTTTTGAACCAAACCAATATATAAGAATTTTTTCGAGGAGAAAAAAGATACGAAGGGGATAATGTATTGGTTTGGTTCAAAAACAATCTAAGTAGTTTTTCACTTTGATTTTTCAAAAACTCAAGTATTTGTTGTGCAAAACAAAGTGTTTTTGTATTGATTTAACATTAAATTTAATAAAGAAGATATGAACCTAACCTAAGCAACTATTTTAATGGAAATCAACATATGAATTAGACCAATTTAAAACATAATTATACTACTACTAACCAAATTTTTATACCAATACTCTATATATTTTGTTTATTTAATCATAAAAAACGAGGACAACAAAAAAAAATTCATAAAAAACAAGAAAGAACAAGCGACCTCAATGATTAACATTCGTCGGCTGAATCAATATCGAGATTTTAAAATTTAAAATGGTGGTGGGGTTTGCAGCATAAGCTTTTAGTTTAAGCCTTTAACATGTGATTAACTTTCCGCAACAGTAATGGCGCTCCAAAATCCCACAAAAGAAGAAAATTATTTTGACAGTCACTTAGGATTCTGATAAATGTGAAAACTTAGAATAACTCGCTAGTCGCTTCCATGAAAAAGTATTGTCGCTACACTTTATTTGAGAATGGAGAAAGGGGTTTCAAGATTCCAAATTTGAGGTCACCATTTTTTTTTTATATCATTGTATTCTCTTTTTTTTTTTCTAATGCAAAAATAGTATTTTTATTTGAAATCTAAGGCAATGACTTTTATAATACTACAGAAATGGTATGGGACTAAATATAGAACTACTATAAATCAATATATATCTGTATTGTATAAAGAGTAGGAAGAGTGAAAGTGGTGAGAGAAATGATGGTGAATTGAGAGCTGTTGCAGAGAGGTGGGGATCCAGTGGCCCCTCTTTTATTCCATATTAAAAGCCATTATATAACTCTTAACTAAATTTGCAATAAATCGAATAATCTTTAGAGAATATCACATAGGACAGACTATACACCCAGTTTATCAAATTATAGGGTTTTCAATCACCAAAGCTTCAAAGTTCAATTATGGAGAATACACCCAGTTGTTATGTTCTTCATAGACCCAAAAATAACCCATTCTTGTAGAGAATAACAGAATCATGCAAAATCTAAAAACTTATAAAAATAGTGCAGTAGTGGACACAAAGCATGTTCTGTGTTATGGGAGATTCATGTCTTGTTTGCCGTCTCAAAATCCCTGTTAAATGAGACGTTAAAATGTCTTTGTCTGTGTCTTCACTGTGAAGAATATTTAAAGGGACAGTTTTTGTCTGGCTAAAGAATTCTGTTTCTCCATGAGTTTCGTCGCAAGCCCTTTGATGCTTAAATAAGGTAACACTATCAGACCAACTTCTTCTAGCTCAGTCTAAAGTACATGTTTCTTTAAGTACTGAGGTTCTGCATTTTTAACATACCACACATCAAGGATTCTCTTTATGTAATGAATGAGGATCAAAGATCATAGCTTATAAGTAAGCGAAGGATCTCACAAATCATAATCAGTTACTGTGACTGAATCATTGTATCTATTTGTTTGCTTATACAAGCTTTGAACTATAAGAGAATGAAATGGTTACTGTGGTAGAATCAAATAATTGTAACAAAAAAACCATTTTTGGGACGGAATAAATAATTGTATCCATTTCATTCTCTTATAGTTCGAACTCGAACTTGTGACATCCCCAAGATTAAGGACTCAATTCTTATTAACAAAACTTTGGAATAAATGTGGAAATTTGGAAAGAGATTTGTTGTTTTTTTTTTTTTTTTCTAATTTCATTTTCATATATGCCAAAACAAAACATGGGACCGTTTATGACACGTGGAATTTATGCGATTCAGAAGAAAAGATAACACTCTCCGCCATTAGAACCAATCTCAAGAGATAAGGAAACTTCACAACCAAGAAAAAAACCAGACAGAACAGAAAGAGATGAGCCGTTGCTGCTCTCTTGGGCTCTGTGCCCCGAATGGTTTGTCCTCTTTCTCCTCAAGGCCTCGCATTCGCAGCGTGAAAGCTCCTCTTTTTATCACATCTCACACCAAACCCAACTCTAACACGGATTCAGATTCTGATTCTCTTCTTCATGTAAGACTTCACTAGCTTGGAAAAAATCTCTGCTTCTTGAGCTAGAATTATATATTTCAGAACCATTTTAGAGTTACAATTGGCTGTTGTTTTTACTACAGAATGTTGCCAAGATGAGAGCCAAGGCCAGTGGTTTCTTAGGAGCAAAGAAGACAATCTTGGCAGCTCAACTCGGGGCAGTCCTTGCCACGGTAAAGAACATAAGAGACTTCGCTATTCACTGTATATTCACGGTTGAGAGTAATAAAGAAATGGCAGTAAATCGAAAATCTTTTTGTTTTACAGATTGATCATCCGGCGCTGGCAATAACCGGAGTCAACCACGAGCAGGAATTAAGCAGCGTTGTGCTCGATATCGGGATCATATCCGTTTGGTACTTCTTAGTAATGCCAGTAAGTTTGAGACGAAAACACATTGTATTTTCAAAGATTTATAGATAATTCATTTTTCTGAATTTACTTAATTTGGGGATTATATACCTAATGTGGTGGTTAGCCAATCATCATGAACTGGTTGAGATTAAGATGGTACAGAAGGAAGTTCTTTGAGATGTATATACAGTTCATGTTCGTCTTCTTGTTCTTCCCCGGGTAAGCATCATTAACGCCATTATTCGTCTATTGATGCTTACGCTCTCTTGTTCTTATCAAAGTTTATTACTTTGCAGGCTACTGTTATGGGCACCATTTCTCAACTTCAGAAAGTTCCCAAGAGATCCATCTATGAAGTATCCTTGGGACAAACCAAAAGACCCCTCCACTATCAAAAACGGTTACCTCAAATACCCATTTGCAAAGCCAGAAGATTACGACTACTAAGCCTGGGATTCACAAGTTTGTTTTATATCTTGCGACTGTATATACTCTGGATTCAAGTGAACACAATGTAATGGCTTGTGCAGGCTCTTTTCTTAGATTCGGCTTAAGGCTTTGGTCAACATAACAAAGAGGAAGAGACGAAGCATATATAGTAATAAACAGAAATAACTTTATTGTCATCAAGAAAAAAGAAGAAGAAATAAATTGACACAGAGTCTAAAAACCTTCTACACACCTGCGAGCTTTTGAATAATAAATTATGAAAACGAAACCCTCATTATTTTCTAGTCCAGCTTTTCAAAATTTTGGTATCTCGGAGCGTAAAAGGCTTTAACTTTTTAAGTAAATACTCTACACCGACGATAATCAGAGTTACCTCTGCTTATCGTCCTCATGTTGTTTTGCTTCTTTTCTCTCTTCATTATCCAAAAGCTGTGGTGATTGCATTATAGTATTGGTCCAGGCCCAAAGAGTCCACCAGGTTCATCAGTTCTGTTGTAGCCTCCGGGTTGGAAGATAGAACAGCTGCAGCAGCGGCTCCTGCAGCAGCTAAAACCACAGCAGTAATGGCTGTTCCTTTGAGGCAGCCACTTCCACGGGAGAGTCTCCCTGAGATCACTTTGCAGGACTTGTCAGCTTCTTTGCAGAGAGAAGCATTAGCTCCTCCATCACTGATGGCTTCCTCGTTCTAAAAACATCACAGGTCAGGTCAGAAATGTTAATTACAAGCGAGTAGAGGGTGAAATTGGTTATAGTTTAGAAGAGTAAGAGGCATTACCTTTAGCCTGAATCTCTTCATGGTTCGGCTGAGAGTGAGAGCATCACTTGGTGATGACAGTTTGAGAGAATGATCCTTCCATTCTTCTACAAGCTTTTTAAGAACAGCAACACTAGCTCCTAGATTCTCCTTATAGAGATTGTCCCAATGCTTGCAGCAATCAACGTTTTCAGTCACAGCCCAGATAGCAATTGCTGTAGCTTCCTTGGCTAAAACAGGATTTCCTGTAACAACGGTAATACATTAGAACTCTTTTTGGAGAAGAGAAAGAAAGGGAAGCAGAAAAACTCAGGGATTCAAGGTCTCCTTTGTTACCTTCTCCAGCTAATTTCAGAGCAAAAGTGAATATCTGTTGTGTGGTTTGTTTCATCGCCTTGCTTCCTGGTGCACCGGCAAGAGCCACTTCCTTCAGCAACGGATATATTGCTTCAAACCTCTCTGTAGCCTGTGTACATACAGAGACCATGCTTATGATTCAGAATCGGCAACAAGGTTTTTGCTTTATTAAATTCCAGTACTTTACTACTTACCTTTACTCTAGAGGATGAAGAAGGGAATGTAAGCCGCACCAAGATCTCAAATGAAGGAGGTGGAATCAGTCGCTCTCCTTTCCTTACAGCTCCATTTACAAGTATGGTCCGAGCCTTTGGATTCGACGTAATTCTGATAACAAAGTTGCGTAAAACAAGATCAGACAATTATTATATAGCAGAAGGAGATCAGAAACAAAAAAACAAAATCTTTGACTCACTTCTCAACCAACTGCAGTATGAGATCCCTTGACTGAGGGTTGCAGTTTTTGTTACCGACTACAGGTAACAAGTTGTGTGCCCATGATAATAAGCCTACAGATAAATCACCTTGGGAGGCCTGTCCACGTTTTACAGTTACTCAATTTCATAACACAGATCACAACAGAAAACACAAATCTCGACACTCTTGGTCCTCATTTACATAAAGAGAAAAAAAAACCAGACAAACCTGAGCCATCATCCAAACTGTAACCGGAAGCTTGTCTTGTCCCTGATACTTGGGATTCTCCCTCAAAGTCGGCAACACATTGGCCAAAGCATCAGGTTTTCTACGCAACACCATTGCCAATGCAACGAATATTCCCACCTAACCGTTAAACGAAAAGAACATAACGGAGCAAGTCAAACAAAGGTAATAGATGCATAGCATATGCAAAGATATCATGAAAAAAGTTTGTATATTACCGGAGATTTGGAAGAAGTGTGTTGTGCACCTTTCTTCCCACCTTTGGCACCTCCTTGTTGTGCAGCCAAATCTGTGAGAATACAGTCAAACGCCCACAACACAAAGGATCCTAAAGCCTCGACAGGACGTTTGTTGATCCAATCGACTGATGTTTTGTAGACTGGTTCAGGAATATGAGATAACGGAACCTATTTGATAAAAACAGATAAACCAATCAATCAGAGCTTCATGAGCCTAATCCTAGACACTTTGATCCGAAATTCTCAGAAAAATATTTCTTACATCGATCAATTTGGACAAAGGAGACTCTTTGAACATCTTCACCCATGGAAATTGCACAGATGATACTCCGGAAAGTGCTGTTCCAAAGTAATCGGCGAATCTCATTGGCTGAATCTCCGGCTGAGTCTCATACGATTCCTATAAAAAAAATCGAATTTTGATTTGTGGGTTAGCAAATTAGATCACAATTCAAAAGGGAAAATTTGACAAAACGGATCGAGCCGTCGCATGCACATACCGATACTTCGACGAGGAAAGCTGCGAGATTCGAAGGATCGATCTTCGCCGCAGCTTCAGGTAAAGAAACCTTTGGCTTCTTCTCCTTCTTGGGTTTCGGCTTTTTAGTTTCCTCCGCCTTCAGATTCTGCAACATCCTCGCCGCGATCTCCTCGTCGCTATCATCGAAATCGTAACCATCATCGTTGGATCGGCGTTTAGATCTCGACGCACGAGCACCGTCCGATTCATCCTCCAAATCAGCAGCAGCCATCTTCGCCGCGAGGATCCGACGTCTCCGATCCTCAGCTTGCTCCTCTAGCGAACGGAAGACGTTATCGCCGTTAGCTTGTGTTCCGTTAGCAACAGTCTTGCCGGAAACGCCGCCATTTACGGATTGATCAGCCGGTTTCTGCTTCCGGTTGCGTTTAGGGTACACGACTTTCTTCCATCCATGGTCGACGTGGGAGTTACCGTTAGCTTCCGATGGCGTCTCGAACTCGAAGCCATTGTACTCCACAGATTCGATCGGATCCATTAGCTTTTCTAAAGTTTATCGCTTTTTGTCTTTATTTCTCGATAATTCGCTTGCGTGAAAAACAGAGACCAAGTAGAAGACGAGATTTGACCGGAGAGAAAATGGTTTATATATATCTGAAGTGAGTAGAGAAAGATAAAACAATACCCTTGTTTGTTTAGGAAATTGCTATGGACACATATGAACCAATCTTTTACGGATTTGATTTAAGTTGGTTTTTACCAATCAACGTTAAACAACAAAATTTGGAAAAAAATATCTCAGCCTCTATTTTAAATATTTTCAGTATTTTTTTTAACCATAAATCTATATATTCATATTCTATTTTATTGATTGGTTTTCTCATTATTGCAAAAGATATTCTTGATGATTTTCTCATAACAAATACAAATTCCTTTTTTAATCGAAGGAGTATTTCATTATTTTGGTGAAGTCATCAATAATAACAAGACTTCCCTTTTCTATAACAAAATTATGTATCTAAAATATATTATCCTTTAATGTTTCAATACATAACAAAGATCATCCTTTTTAGTTCCCTTTTTAAACACATAACAATATTAATATTGGATGACAATCCAAATTTTAGATAATTTTCCAAAGTCGAATCATACTTTTATTATCAACTAGATCTTGGATGAATGTTCAAACCATGATATTTTTCTTATGTTTTTAAAAGCTAATTTTTAAATTATGTTCTTTATACCATTTAATATAAAAAGAAATCAAAACTTTAATGGTCAAAATTTGTACAACTAGTTGTTTTTTTAAGTGAAAATATTAACATTTTTAAACTTTTTGTTGCATAAATTTGAGAAATCAAAAAGAAAATTTAATAAGTAAATGAATACATATAATTGTTTACTAGCATCACATCCTACTACCATATATATTTAAAGTGTAACTAACTGCAACAATATTTTTATATGGTCCGTCTTAATAAATGATTTATATATCTCTATATATCTCTTCGAGTAGAAGAAGATAAAAGCCATATTTTTGTTTGTTTCCGAAATTGCTACTAATATATATATGCAAAAAGATTATGAACCAATCTTTTTGGGATTTGATTTTTTGTTGTTTTTTAACTAATCATGTTTTTCATTTTAATTTTTTTATAAAGATTACTGATTCTTTTTACCAGAAAATCTAGAAATGGGTAAACAACAAAATTTGGAAAAAAAATATCTCAGCCTCTGTTTTAAATATTTTCTGGAATTTTTAACCCTAAATCCAGTTTTCATATTCTATTTTCTGATTGTTTTTTTTTACGATTGCAAAAAAAATTAAAGATGATTTTCTCATAATAATACAAATTCATTCTTTTTAAAAAAAAAATTATATTACCTCATTATTTTGGTGACGTGATCAATGACGAGACTTACCACTACTATTAGGATATCAATATCAGTTTATCATCCTTGCATATTTTAGATTCATAACAAAATTAATGGATGAGAATCCAAATTTCGGGTAGTGTTTCTAAAGTTGGATCTTCCTTTTTAGTCAACCAGATCTTGGTTCAATGTTCAAATCATTATAATTTTTCCTATATTTTTAACCTATGATTTCTAATTTATATTTGTTCTGTTAAATATATAAGTGTCAGTTTTGAATGTGAATTAAGTTAATCCCACTAAAAAGAAAAAGAAATCGAACCTTTATATAAACAAAAAGAAAAAAATTTCCAGATATATTTACATATATATTTAAGGTGAAACTAACTCCAACAATATTTTCATATTGACTGCCTTAGTAACAGAAAGCTGTATTCACATTTCTTATTCATCTTTCTTCAATATTCAAGAAAAATTATAAGTTATAAAGAATCTGGCGGATTTTGTTGAGACAATCAAAATTCAGAAATCCAATAGAAGTGAATTAAATTGTTTATTACTGTTCTTTTTTACAGTGGGCTGGTTTAGTTTTGCTATAAAAGAAAATGGGTAGTAGTGCCTATGGTGGTGGAGAAGTTGTTGATATATAGTTAAGTAAAATACATAAACATTCACCTCTTAAGGTCAACGAAACTAAGTGGCCAAGAAACAACAACACACGTGATTAATACAACATGCTTGCATGTTGAAAGAGAAACCTTTTCCCACATTCCAACCACAAATCCCGTTTTCAGTTTGCATATTAGCACAACATTTCTCCAACTGTTAACAGAAAGAAATAAACAGCTCTGCAGCTCAAACAATTTTTGGTTTGTATCCATTTTTTTCCTATTGATTTTGTTGCCATTTCAAAAATTATAATTAAAAAAAAATTTTGATCCAGTTTTTTGATATTGTATAGTCCTTTTAGGTAACAATCTTTTTTTGGGTAAATAATTATAGTATTAAGGGAAAAACTCTTATCTTATTGTTTCTACAAGCAATGTATATATACATTACATAACTAATGTATCAGAAACCCTAATGGGCCATGAGACATTAACCTGATGGTTAATGGGCCGGTTACTAGAAATCCATTTGTTTATAACACTCCCCCTTGGACAAGGTAACCGTGCCTGTCACAAAATCGGGATCTCTATAATACGCTGGAGAACGTTGCCTCATTAAAACCTTACTAGGAAAACCCAGTGGGAAAAACCATGGTGAAGGAAAAAGAGTACAACACGCATTACTCCCCCTGGTTTAGGCATCACTGTAGATCTCTAAGTCTACGCATTCCTATCTGATGAATGAGCTTCCGGAGTGTAGAAGTCGGTAATGATTTAGTGAATAGATCGGCTGAATTTTCGCTTGATCGGACTTGCTGAACCTTGACCTGACCATCATTCTGTAGCTCATGAGTGAAGAAGAATTTGGGCAGAATATGCTTCGTCCGGTCACTTTTGATGTAGCCGTCCTTGAGTTGAGCGATACAAGCTGCATTGTCTTCATACATCACCGTAGGCTCCTTATCTTCGTCCATACCACAATCTGATCGGATATGCTGAGTCATGGACCGCAACCAAACACACTCTCTACAGCTTCGTGAATGGCCAAGATTTCCGCATGGTTGGATGAGGTAGCGGCAATAGTCTGCTTCATGGATCTCCAAGATATGGCTGTTCCTCCATGCGTGAAAACATAACCGGTTTGAGACCGGGCACAGTGCGGATCTGACAAATATCTTGCATCAGCAAAACCAACTAGACCATCCTTGTTATGGTTAGAATAAAATAATCCCAAGTCCTTAGTACCTTGAAGGTATCTAAGGATGTGCTTAATACCGTTCCAGTGCCTTTAAGTTGGACACGAACTAAAGCGAGCTAAGAGGCTCACGGCAAAGCAGATGTCTGGTCTAGTGTGACTAGCCAAGTACATTAATGCTCCTATGGCACTGAGGTATGGCATTTCAGGACCGAGGATTTCTTCATCGTCCTTCTTTGGACCGAATGGATCACTATCCAATCCAAGGCTCCTCACAACCATAGGGCTGGTCAATGGGTGGGCCTGGTCCATATTGAATCTCTTGAGTACCTTTTCAGTGTATGCCAATTGATGCACAAGGATTCCGTCATTGACGTACTCAAGTTGTAATCCCAAACAGAATTTAGTTTTGCCTAGGTCTTTCATTTCAAACTCTGCTTTTAAGCATTCAACTGTTTGGGCGATTTCACCAGATGTTCCGAGGATGTTCAAGTCATCCACGTATACTAAATCCTTTGTTTTGATATTTTCTGATGAAGATACATGGACTGATCGGATCGTTTTCGTAGCCTTCTCTGATGAGATATTCGCTTAACCGGTTATACCACATACGTCCACTTTGTTTCAGTCCATATAAGGATTTGTTCAGCCTAATGCAATGTTTATCACGAGATGCATGCTTATCTTTGAGCTCAATACCATCTGGTAATCTCATATAGATTTCACTGTCCAGTGGTCCATAAAGATATGCGGTTACAACATCCATTAACCGCAAATCTAAGTTTTCTCTTATGGCCAGACTTATGAGGAATCGAAATGTAGTTGCATCCACCACTGGAGAATAAGTCTCCTCATAATCGATTCCGGGTCTCTGTGAGAATCCTTGTGCTACAAGGCGTGCCTTGTATCTAACGACTTCGCCGAGTTCGTTTCTTTTACGCACAAAGACCCATTTGTTTCCCACTGGTTTAACATCGAATGGTGTCCTTAAGATCGGACCAAACACATTTCGTTTCTTTAAACTATTCAACTCCACGTTTATGGCTTCTTTCCATTTCAGCCAATCTGATCTACGAGTGCACTCAATTATAGACGTGGGTTCTAGATCCTCTTGCGTGTGCGCAATCTCAAGTGCTACCTTGTATGCAAATGTTTCATTGATGTCGACATCTTTTCTGTTCCATAGAGAACCGAATATGATATAATTGATTGAGATCTCATTATTATCAATCCCTTCAGAACCTTGAGTTTTGGCGTCCCAAACCTCTTGAGATGGTTCGATAGGGTAAGTATCAGCTGAGGCTGTATCCGTGTTCTCTTGAATCCCGGTTTCAATCATTGCACCTTTCTTTGATTTCCGGGGATTCTTATCTTTGGAACCTGGTGGTCTGCCACGTTTCTTACGTGCGTCAGACTCTGTAGCAACTTGACTTTTCCCTGAGGGGACATCTATTCGTACTGGTGCATTACAAGCTGGTATGTACGATTTGGTAACTTTGTTCGGGTCAGCAAAGGAATCTGGCAATTGATTAGCTTGCTTTTGTAAATGTATAATTCTTTGGACCTCTGAATCACATTCTAGAGTCCGAGGATCTTGCCATTGTGTGGATGTTTGATTCCATGAAAGTTCTTTTACCAGCTTGTCTGTCTCACCACCTAATCTAGGATATACCGATTCATCAAATCGGCAATCTGCATATCTGGCTTTAAACAGATCTCCTGTAGTTGGCTCGAGATATTTTATGATGGTGGGAGAATCAAAACCAACATATATTCCCATCCTCCTTTGAGGTCCCATTTTAGTCCTCTGTGGTGGTGCAATGGGTACATAGACTGAACACCCAAATGTTTTAATATGGGAGACGTCTGGCTCATGACCCGTTAGCAATTGGGATGGTGAATATTTGTGCTCACTAGATGATCGTATGCGTATTAGTTCAGCGGC